TATATATATATATATATATTTTATTAATCCAGCAGCACACATCGTTTCTTGAGAACTCTCTAAAACGAAGTTAACATTAATTTTGATTTTGTAAACGAACACGAAATGTATTCGTATAACATAACAAATGTTACATTTGTATTATTGCATACGAATAATGATAATAACGTTACAATAAATGTTACTTCTTACTGATTGTTCGCAAACACCCTGCACAAGTACCACATGTGCACTGCCGGGCTGAGGAAGGATTATTAGGACACTAAAATAGAAATGTGATTGCTTTTCATTCATGTTGCTTACTAAGTATCTCTCGGTGGCCACAGATACCAGAATAAGGTCATCACCGACTCGGACCTTCTCACCCTCTGACCTCTGTTTCGACGCTGGATGCACAGTCCACCAGCAAGCTTCGCCTAAATGATCAATGATATTATTACGTGCATATAAGCATGACAGGAATTGATATTAGGAGTTCATATATTAATTTGATCGCGTTCCATCGGCCAACCTTGAGAATGCTGCTGCAGACCGACGTCGAAAGCCAACTTGTCGTTGGACGAGCTGGTCGATAAACAAGCCAAATACTGCGAACGAAATACAACCAAGTTATTCGATTCCGCGGAAACGGCAAACGTGGGTTTTTCGGCCCACCGATTCTGTACGATTTCACTTACCATGTCGCTGTTCTGATGCCTGAGTAAAATCGCGTTGCCGTACAGTAGCGTTCTGTGTCCAGATCCAGTGCCCTTTCCCTAAAATTATGGAACGACATTCTACATACGCGACTGGAACGAATACGCAGACACGCTGAGATACATGTAGAAGGATTAAAAAAAAAAAAAAAAAAAGAAACTATAAACGAAAGTACACAAGCATACCGATAAGAGAAGGCCATAAATAATGAGATTGTTAACGAATGAATGTCAACGGCAGGCATGTATTCATGCTCGTATTCGTGATCGGAAACGGTGAATGCGTGAAATTGATTGCGTGTTAATTCAACATAAAAGTGAAAGAAGAACGCAGTCACAGAGAACCACGTGATCAGCATGAACAGGTACGTACAACATAACGTGTCAGCTATGAACATAAAATGCACAGATACATAACGAAGAAGAAATCGGTGTCTCAACAAAAGAGAAAACGTAAAGAATAATAATCAAATAGAAGAGAGATAGAGAGAGAGAGAGAGAGAGAGAGAGAGAGAGAAAGAGAGAAAAGGAAAGAAAGACAATAAAGATCAATGCAAGCAAATGACGTTACTCACAAGCATGAACGTAAACAGTGTCTTAGAGTGATACGGAAGAGTATACTTACTAAATTTTCTTGCTGCTGCAAACAGAAACATAGGTGTTGTAAATCTCATCTTTTTGCTTTGCCAATCAGATGGGTGAATAAAGAAAGAGTAAAGATTCGAGGTGATTACGCCTACAATGTCGATCGATAGGTAAAAGTGTGGTTTTCTCTTTCGTGCGATTTTTGAGTCACGCAGTGCTTCTCTTTGTGTGTGTGTGTGTGTGTGAAAAAATTCGCGTTTTTGCGATGAGTTGCAACGCTTCAGCGTGGACGCAACAGAAAATCGAACATAAACATAAAGGGACAAAAGACAATATGGACAAACGAAAGACAATTTTGAAACGTGTTACACGGCTACAATGGACGCATGCCACAATTATTACGTGTTGGACAAGGAAACGTGCGGATGCATTCAGAAAATTGTTCGTCTGTGTGTTTCGTATCGAGAAATAAACGAAGAAGAAAGAAGGGGAAGGGGGAAAGAACGGAAAGTAGAAAAAGAGAAGAAAAACATAGCGAATCAAACAACAAGTGAACTCGCAACTTGTCGAGTACAACAGCGGACAAACAGCTTTGCAAAATCGCGAGTAATCTACTTTCTAAGTGCATCGTTCTGTTTAGTTGGTACGTTTCTTTTTACAAGAAGTAAGGACAATGACATTGATTAATCTCTCCTGCATACGATACATGAAATCAGATGGATTTTATGGCCCACTCCTATGCAGGTGATCGTCACGTTACGGAGGTCGTTCACGTCGACCGATCGATTTGCACGCACGATGCAGAGGAGAGCCGTGTTCGCATCGTGCGTGTTAAAAATTCGCCGCGACGAAGGAACGAAAGGGAAGAAAAATTGAGGTGAAAAAGCGTGACAAGAACGTCTGCACAGGAAAATGAAAAAATAAAAAAAAGAAAAAGAAAAAAAGGAAGGAAAGAAAAGAACGACATCGTCGAAGGTTTGTACAACAAAAATTAGAAAAGAAACGATCGGTTGGTAATACGTTCGAACGTTTGTCTCGGTGGACACGTGAGGACTCGTTGTATGGTGTAGAGTGATAAAGAAATAGTACGTTACCGTCTCGGAACCGGCAGCGGTAACCAATTCCTGCAGAGCTCTCACCGAGAGAGCCTGTTCTATTACGAATACGCATTGCGACAGGTCAGGTGGTATGTTCTACAATCGTAAACAAAATGGTCGATATTAAATTTCTCCATTCGCTTTGGCTCGACTTTGGCGAATAGTCGAATAAACACACACTCGCGAACGCAGTGAAGTAACCGCTTAATTTTAAGCCTTACCTTGTCTGCGATGTTCTCAAGGAAACAGTGTCGATTACCAAACCCCTCGGCTGCGAGGCAAACCCTTTCGCCAGTTGCGGTGCAGGAGAGACACACCATGTCCTCCTGCAATTTCCATTTCCCGATGTATATCACTTCCGATATATCACTGTACTCTCTAATTGTAATCTTCGAAAATAGGAAGCACAGCGCTGGCTCGTTTGTCTTTCAATTTTTTTTTCAACTTTAACATCGCGGACTTTTTTCACAGCATTTCTTCGTTGTAACGATCTTCTCTTGTTCTTTGAAAATCAAGTGCTAGCAAACGCTGATCTGTTGCCCTTCACTTTGCCATGCATCGTGCGAACAAAGCTGAAGTCGATAAAGTTTCTTTACTTAGTGTGATAAATAATGCGATCGTTCGAACGATCCACTTAATTTAGAAATTACATTAGAAAAGCTGGCGGAGACGGCAGCGCAGAGGAAGTAACGATGTGCTGAAAAAACGATTCATTGATGCGCTGGTAACACGAGGACCGTGCAGGCGACCTTTGCGAAATATAACGCGAGCCAAATGTTGGGCAGATGTTACGCATAGTGCCAAAACCAATTTGGACGGTCTGTGGAATGCGCGGCATTGGTTTTACACGCGCATACCGGGAAACGCTTCTGAAGACTTTCAAAGCGGATTGTCAGGGGTTTAGTACGCTGAGTTTTACTACTGCAAAAGACGTTACTCAAGAGAGAGAGACGAGGAGAGTGGTATTCTTCGATCTAGACTGTGGCTCTTAGAGTGAGTCATACATCGCGCGAACGAGTTGTTGTGCGATTCGGACAATGCACAACGCAATTCGGCCGAGAATATGCAGACAACGATTTTCTTGAGACTCGACCACTGCGAACACGTACCTACGTATTTAAAATTATATTTGCGTTGGATTCCGCGCAAACGAACGACACTTATACTTTCGAGAGGATTTATTCTGCGTTACAATCGTGGTCAAGGGAAATGTTACAAGGTCTTTCCTGACAGGAAAGAGTATTCTTCTCTTCTCTTTATAATATATCTATGATAAATCGTCCTTGGAGAACTGTCACTGACTCAATGTTAGCACTGAGGCTTGGTTGGTCATCCAACATTTCGACAGATTAAGGTTGCAGTAGAACCAGACGGTGTAAAATGTAAAATTCGTGCTAAAGAAACAGGACGGAAAAGTATATATATTTACAGGCTTTTATAACAAACTCGAATCTTCTTTCAAACTAAATCGCTGTAAATATAGAAAATCTCAATACTGGGGAAAGTTGATTTTAATGGACACGAAGTGAGAGCATTTTTAAAGCAGCATGTTACGATCGCGGACAGATTTAGAGGTTCGGGACGGATCTGTGAATGGCTGAGCCGAAATTTGCGCCACGTGCGCCCCGAATTAACGTTCGATAGTGCGCTAGAGAGATTCTCCAAGCTCGATAACGCGACGGAATGATCGGATAGGAGAGCAATTGCGATGAACAGCGTGAACGTAAAAGTTATTTCTATCGTCGACGACGACCTGTCGCGGCCGTGTCGTACCGCCTGCAAAAATCCTCTACCGTTTCTCAATTTACGATTCGTACCGGCGCGTGGCGTCGAGGCTGACGACGATTCTGCTCCGTTACTTTGCATATTCCTCATGCAGATAAAAGGAAGATATTCAAACTCAAACGCGAATAATGAGATAACAAACGTTGTGGATACTGTAAGGGACAAATTGTATGAAATGGCACATTTTGTCAAACATTTTTGAAAATTTATCTAATGAAAATATTGATAATGTTATGCAATTGATAGTCATATTTATGCCTATATCTGTTAATTATAATCGATGAAACCGATCAATGTAACATGCAACAAACCATTTCATTTCCATGAAATTTAATCATCATTCTCCGTTTTAATTGTTTGTCGAGATTGTTGTTTGCATAATTTCTGGTAGGATCGACCGATGAACGAACCATAATGTACGAATTTCGGTCAATTACGAGCTGTGTAACAATCGCTACTTCTTTTTCAATATTCTATTCGACTCGACGGAAAAATGAAACATGCACGGACGATGAACTGAAATAAACTAATTTCCGCCGTTCGTGAGATCGACCGCGATCGAAGCTGCAACGTGTTGCAAATCGCAGACCATGCGGCTCAAGACTGTGTTTGTATTTCATTATCGGATAATCCGAGCGATTTTGTTTCGAACGCTCAGTGGATATAATGAATCGTATC